ACTCGCAAATGGTTTCTCCATAGATGTCACTTTATTTGAATATTAGCCTTACTTTCCGACCTTCCTGGTATCACAGTCATCCCTTGAGGGGGAGCCTTGGTGTGAAGAGATTCCTGCCACTTCCACCAGTGGTTGAACAGATAGAGGATGATGAGCCAGCAATTGTTGAGGAAAAGGAAGCAGGCAAAGTTTATATCAAGGACAAGGACAGATAACAAGTCACTTGGATGCAAGAGACTACTTTCCCTCCTCTACTGCCAACTTCTTCTCCGGATGAGTGTCCATAGTCAGCCCCCTCTCTTGAGAGTCCATGTAATTCTGATTCTAGTGCTCCTATTCTTGATTATTTAGATCTTGATGTTCTCATTGTTAATAGGAAGGGGGTTAGGTCATGTACTTAGTGTCCTATTACTAATCATGTCTCTTATTTTAATTTGTCTTCCTCATATAAGGCCTTTCTGTCTAAAGTGTCTTCTGTGAGTCTACCTACCAATTTTCAGGATGCTCTCTCTATTCCTGAATGGAAACATGCCGTGATGGAAGAGATGAGAGCTCTCAGCAAGAGTGGCACTTGGGAGTTAGTGGAGTTACCTAGAGGCAAAAATCTAGTTAGGTGTAAATGGGTGTATGCGTCTCTTATTCTAATCTGTCTTCCTCATATAAAACCTTTCTGTCTAAAGTGTCTTCTGTAAGTCTAAACTACTAATTTTCAAGATGCTCTCTCTATTCCTGAATGGAAACATGCTATGATGGAAGAGATGAGAGCTCTCAGCAAGAGTGGCACTTGGGAGTTAGTGGAGTTACCTAGAGGCAAAAATCCAGTTGGGTGTAAGTGGGTGTACACGGTAAAACACAAAGCAGATGGTTCCATGGAACGGTACAAAGCAAGACTGGTTGCTAAGGGTTTTACTCAGACGTATGGGGTAGATTACCAGGAGACATTTGCATTGGTTGCTAAAATGAACTCTGTGATGCAAATTTGGATTGGCCACTTCATCAGTTTGATGTGAAGAACGCCTTCCTTCATGGAGACCTAGCAGAAGAGGTCTATCTGGATATTTCCTCTGGTTTTGCAGATGCTAAGTCCAAAGGTAAAGTGTATAGGCTTTGAAAGTCGCTTTATGGGCTAAAGTAGTCTCCTAGGGCTTGGTTTGAAAGGTTTGCTCAAGCCATGCTGAAATATGGGTTCAAGCAAAGTCAAGCTGATCACACTTTGTTTGTGAAACACTCCTCACATGGTAAGACCACATCTCTTATTGTTTATGTTTATGATATTGTTCTGACAGGGGATGACGTTGAAGAGATTCTTCGGTTGAAGGAATACTTAACCAAGGAGTTTGAAATCAAAGACTTGGGTAGTTTGAAGTATTTCTTAGGCATTGAAGTTACTAGGACCAAGGATGGCATCTTCATATATCAGAGAAATTATGTACTTGACTTGCTAAAGGAAACTGGAATGCTTGGAGGTAGACCATGTGATACACCTCCAGAACTAGGCCAGAAACTAAGTGAGGATCAAGAGGGAGAGCCAGTGGACAGGGGGAGATACTAGAGACTAGTGGGCAAGCTCATATACTTATCCCACTCATGTCCAGACATTGCCATTGCAGTGAGCATGGTTAGTGTTACAGGGTCAATTTTTGTTTCAAATTTCCAACCTGTAATGGCACTAAGTTGGGCACTTAGTCTTAGCCAATTATGAAAACACACACACACACACACACACACACACACACAGTGTTATAACAAGTAAGAGAGTAGGCAGCAAGAGATTACAGGAAAATTTTCCAACCTTTATTAATTGCACCAACAATACAAAGGAGGCCTATGGTAACTCTTACAAAACACTTGGTTCTTTTCGAGTTCCATGGCTATGTCTTAAATAGGCTTACAATCAGTTACAAACTTACAACCAGCATTACAAGGAAAGCATGCCAAAAGGCATGACAGTTGACACCCCCAACTGCCTAGGGACTTAGGAACATTTCTGGGACTAACTGCTAGTAACTGCTGCTATCTTCCAGCCTTAGTTCCTGATTTCCAGCCTTGCCTTGTCTCTGCCCAACATGGGTAACTGCTGCCAACAGACAAGCATAACTGCTATCAACTGCTATGTTGTTTGCCTCATCAAGTCAGCCACGAATTTGGTTGTTTTGGCCTCCAGACCAAGTTTTGCCTACTGATTGCTTTGAACCCCCAAATATGCTGCAGCCCACATTCGGGTCATGTTAATGCCTTGCATTTGTGTAACTGCTGCCCATACTTTGGCCAAGGATTGTGTGCTGCTGCCTCAGCATTTAGCCAACTTTTCACCTTGCTGTCTTGGCATGCCACAATCATGCCATGGTTTTGGTTGGACATTGGCGCAAGGTGTTGCCAATGCCAAACTTGCAGCCTTCAAGTAGAACGTGCTAATAAACCACCCCCATTAGAAGAAGCCAACGTCCTCGTTGGTAGGGTCTTCAAGTACTCTTGGACTTGTTTTTCAAATTGCCACAATGTTACATTCTTTTCCCAAGTTGCATCTAATTTTGAGGAACCCTTCCATTTTACTAAGTAATGGGTCCTCCGATTATTTTTGCTTTGACCCTCGGTCTTGTGATCAAGAATCTGTTCCACCTGCTTGTCAAACTGTTTTCTGATCACCGGGGGTGCTCTCCGAGCTTGTTTCCTTGTCAAGTTTGTTTGATCCTCATGTAAAGGTTTCAATAAACTAACATGGAAAATTGGGTGGATTTTCAACCGATCAGGCAACACTAGCCTGTATGCAACATTGCCCGCACGTTTTAAGACTTCAAAGGGGCCATCATATTTCGGAATTAAGCTTCGGTGGTCTTACTGCTTATCTTCTTCCAAATTTGTGGAGTAAGCTTCAGTAGCACTTTGTCGCCCACTTTGAGGGTCTTTTTTTAGCACGAAAAAAGGTTGTTCCCAAATTAATTTTTTTTAATCACAACTCAAAGAAAATTTTATTTTCTTGGAAATAGGAGTTCTGGAGAAGCAAATCCAAGATAATCCAAAAAAACAAACATAGATAATCCGAAGTTATCTATTTCATTCGTTTCTTTTTTCATTTTTTCTTTTACATAAAATCTCATATTGGATTTTTTTTGTATTTTTTTTTTTTTGTTGGGTTATTTGTTTTAGTTTTAGTTTGAGTTTATTTGGTGTATTCAATTTTTTTATATTTGGAACACATTCATGAGTTTAAAAGAAGTTTTTGTTCAATTTTATTTATTTTTCATTTATTTTTTTTCAATTATTTTAATTTATGTGTTCGACTTTGTTGTAACACATGAGGAAGAGTTATATTATATATTTTTATTTTTTTTTATTTTTTCAGTTTTATCTTATCTTATTTTTAAATTTTTAAATTTCAATTTTATTTTTTTTAATCTTCATTTGATGTTTTACTAGATTTCTCTCTATCTCTTTTTTCTAAGATTTATCTAATTTTCTTTTTTTATATTATTATAGTTTATGTTCAATTTTTTTTTTTAATCTTTATCTTATGTTTACAAAATTTCACTCTTGCTCTTGATTTTTAGTTAAATTTATCATTTTTCTATGATTAATGTAATTTTTCTTTTCTATATTCTTATAATTTAAACTTTTTTTTTACCTTTATCTTATATTTATAGAATTCTACGCTTATTCTTTATTTTCAGTTGAGTTTATCCGATTGAGTGTGTTTAAAAAAAAATTGAATTAGATACCTATACAAATATGTGGGTGTTTGGAAAGTGGGTTTTTATATAGGTTTTTTTAGTTGTAGGATATTATTGGAGAAATTTTTTTTGATGTTTGGGAAGATAGTTGGGTTTTTTTGTGGTTGTGTGTGATGTTTGTGAGAGAAAAAGTGAAATGATTATGGGGTTGGATGTAGGGGTAAATGTTAAATTAGATGCTTGGGAAGGAGCTCTAGAATCAATGACCAATAAAATGAAGTTTGAATACATGGAGCATAACTTTAATAACACTAGAGATACAGGTGAGCAAGGGGTGCCGCATCGACACCTGGGTGCGGTGAAAAATGAGCAAAGGTTTTCGCGTTTTTCTAGATGAGCGCAGATAAAGAAGTTAGTCTAAGATTATAGATTTAGGGTAGCCACATAGAATATAGGAACTTTAACTGGTAAGACTATGGAATTGGTAGATGTCATGATTAGGAGAAAAGTTAGTGTGGTTTGTGTACAAGAAACGAAGTGAACGGGTGAGAAATCTTGGGAAAATGAGGATACCGGTTTTAACTATATTATAGTGGCAAGGATACAGCCGACCCCATTTGATGAGAATTAGTTTGATTTGGTTTGGTTTGGTTTAGGTAAACTAGAAAACTCCATTTGTTAGGGGAAACATGCTTCTATAATAGGGTGCTTCCAATACAGGTATAATGCTCTTCTAAAAATATTGGGGAAAAGTTGAAATGTTTCTGATACTTTTGGGAAACATTAAAGGGAAACTCTAAAGAAACTAAGGAGATGAAAAAATATCTTTGCAAAAACTACTTGGAAATTAATCAAATATTTACGGATTCTTTTTTGAAAGTTTTTTTGCAAATATACAATATGTAAACAAGTTTTAAATCTGTCATAGGAGAATGATTTGAGAAATTTCAAATGAGACACAGCTACCATTATATGTTTTCAGTAATTGTTTTAAAAGTTTCCTTTGTTTTACAAATGTTTCTACTAATATTTCTACTAGGTTGCCCATTCGATTCTTCGACTGTTTTCATTTCCTCTACTTGTTTTGTCCACATTTCCATTGTTTCCTTCTTCAGTTTCCTATTCTGGAAACTATGTACAAGATTGGTGATGATGTGAATTTCACTGCACAATCAAAATTTTAACTTTTGGCATCTTTTAACATCTGACCTACACTATAGTCAAATCGTTCATTTATCTTTCTGATATGTTTTTCTTCTATTCATCAGATTGTTGGCTTCGATCAGAGTCGTATTGTTGTTCTCTACTCACCTTTGTAATTTGCTAATTCAGGTGATCTATTCAAACGAGGAGAGGAAGTTCAACAGAGACATAATTGTTGGACTTATTCGCAAGGACTTACTGAACCTCACAGAATACAACATGCACCTGGCAAAACTTATTGATGCTGGGAGGAATAGTGCGTAATAGGAACATCAATTGGGTTCTTGTTCTACTCTTAGGCATTCAACATTGCTAACTAGTTGCTTATGCTATGCAGAATCTGCTACAGAATTTGCAATTTCTCTTCTCCAGACTTTGTTGATTCAGGAGTTGAGAGTTAGTGTATCTGAACTTCCCAATTTGATTGATGTGTTGGCAAAGGTACATAATTCTTTGTTATGTGTGTTATTAGTTATTAAGGTTTTTGTTCTGATGTTTAGTGTTATGGGATTGAAAGCTTTTTCCAAATTGCAGGTTGCAACTCGACCTGGAGCTTCTGACTCTTTACAACAGTTGGTCGAGACTGCAAGGAATCCTGCTGCTAATGCAGCAGTTCTTTCTGGGTTTTCTCTTGGCAAGGATGACAAGGCTAAACCATCCATAGAAAAGAAGGTTACTGAATATAGTGCTGCTTTTTATTTATTGACAGCTGACTTGGATGGATCTTTGAAATCGAAGATTTAACTTATTAGGCTGACGGAACAGGGTTCTGATAATGCTACTATTCTAACAAGAGAAGAATATATCAATGCCGATTCTAGGGCAGCAGATGACCCTGCCAGCTTTCATGATCAGGTTTTTTCTGAATGCTAATTAGAAAACATATGTTTGAGTTTGATTTCTGGTTCTGAAAAAGGAAAATGATGAGTAGATAATATGACATTTCTTATATTACCTGCATTTACGTGTAGATGGCACTTAGTTTTGATTTCATTTTTTTTTTTGTCTCTCTCTCTCTATTTCCTGTGCTAGGGAACTGCAATGTTTATTCTTATCGTCAGAGTCCTATGATGAGCAATAATTGGATGGATTTTTTAGCAGTTTAAGTTTGGTTGTGAAATTTAGTTGTGTGAGTTTTGAGAAATATTTGTTCACTTATTTAGCCCTGAAACTTATAGGCTACACATAATGTGCATTTGATAACTTATGATTCCTTGTGATCAAAATTTTATAGTTGTGAATTGTGGTGGTGAAAAGATTGAGGAGAACATGATTTTGTACATAGACTGCGAGTGACAAAGCTGCCAAAATTCAGGCAATGTCTGGTTGGCCTTGGCAGAGCTGATTATTTAATTCCACGCATGATTCTCTCAACTCAAAAATCTGTTCCTTAGTGCTCATCTTCTCTCTGTCCCTCCCTTACTTTTCTTCATGCAGTAGGCTTCCATTTTTGGCAGGTCTGATTAGTATCAACTTTCATCTCTATGTTCCTTTAGTTCCTTCTCAGCATTTTCAGCTGCTCCAATGACTTTCAACCTTCATGTCAATCTTCCTTCCAAATTTTACTCATCAGGAATCAATTCTTTTTCTTCTCTTCACATTTTGTAGCAAGTTTCATCTCTCTTTCTCTGTATTGCTCTCACGTGCTTTCTGCTGATCCCCAATTAATGTGAAATGAACAAAGAGAGTCTATAGTTACTTTTCTGTTCTGAGTTAAACAGACCTGGAGGGCATTTGTGTCTTTCAAAATATGGGAAGGACTAAATCTAATTTAAATGTGAAATCTGTTGGCTATATATTCAGATATGCATGTAAATATGTATTTATATATGCTTATATTTTTCTTATAACTGAATGGGTAATTGACCTGGATGGCTTACGTGATACATGAGGTTTATGGGTGATTGTGTACATTCATATGAGGTATCTGAGCTCAAGAAATGGGTCAGGAACACCTTCCTATATGCATCAAAGAAAGATATAGACAATAATATTTAAAAAAACAAACAAACAAACAAACAAAACAAAAATAGTGTATGTATCAGGTTTTTTTTTGTTTTTTAGTTTAGTTTTTTTTTTTTTAAATTTTAAAATTGGGAAGTCTGGATTCATCTTGCATCTTTTAGTACAAAATAATGGTGTTTCATTAATTTGTTGTGTGAATGTGTTGTAGGTTTCCACGCTATTTGCAGAATGGTACAAAATATATGAACTCCATGGAACAAATGAAGCAACTTGTACTCGCTTTCTCTCACAACTGCAGCAAAGTGGTTATTTTAATGGAGATGACATGTCTGATCGTTTCTTCCATCATCTCATGGTAACATATATATTTTTTTCCTTTCATGTTTAAAGCTGCCTTCTTAAATAAATGAGTTGCACTTGTTTCTTTTTCTTCATCATCATCGTTAAGTAATAATTATTGGTTCAGGAACTTTCGGTCGCATGTTGTCTGTCAACTGTGGGGATTAGCTCCAGGTCCTTGTCTTTCCAGTCTTCTCACACATCACAGAACCTATCATTTCTTGCCATTGATGTGTATGCAAAACTTGTTGTTTTGGTTTTGAAGGTATTACAATTTCTGATGTTCTTCTTGCTGTTCTGCTAGTAGTAATGTATAGTATTGTCAAGATCATAATTATTTGTCCATTTATTCTATATCATTCTGTACTTTCATGTGTTCTTTATCCTCTGTCTGTTAGCATGACTTGAGGCTTGTTTGTTTTCAGTACTGTGTGGCAGAGCATGGACCAAATAAACTTCTTCTTTTGCCAAAGGTCTAACCATACTGTATTTTGTCTAGGTTCTTTTTATGCTTTCCCAGAACATGATTTTAATGCTGCATATGAATTTGACAGATATTATCAGTGACTGTTAGAGTCATTCAAAAAGATGCTGAGGAAAAGAGAGCATCTTTTAATCCGAGGCCATATTTCAGGTTGTTCATTAACTGGTTTTTCAATCTTCTTGCTCCTGATTCCATAATAGAAGGTTGTAGCTTTCAGGTAAGAGGCATATTTATTTCAAAAAGGCACATTTATTTCAATCATCATATTTCAGTTTCTGCATAACTAATGCTGCGGATTGGGTGTTTCCAGGTGTTAACTGCTTTTGCAAATGCTTTCCATTTATTGCAACCTCTTAAAGTTCCGGCTTTCAGGTCAGCATGCTGGACATTCGGAATGTGCAACCCATGTTTTTTTTTTCTTCACTTGTTTGTCTTTCATTTGAAGTTTCTAGTACGCAATTCATGACAGATCAATGCTGTATTTTCAATTTGTTGAATCAATAATATTGATTGGAATTTGTTTGAACATTCATGTGTTAGAGTGCTGTGGTTGTTACTGATGTGAGCTGTAAGAGGTTTCTTACTATTAGAAAGAATAATGACTCGATTACTTTTTTGACACTTTTAAGATGATTTCAGTCCTGTATGATGGATTAGTGCAGGATTTTCAGTTGATATTATTCATCCGTTGTGGCATCACCATGAAATATTTTACACTTAAAATTTGCTCAAACACAGACTGTTTTCGCACCTCTGTTTGCTTATCTAACTAATAATCAGATGCTGCAGACCTCCGCTGGTTTCCAATTGTCTGATCTGTTTATGGGTTTCCTAAACAGCCCGCTTACTGTGATTTAAGACACTTGTACTGATTTTGAGTTTCATTAGCTTGTGTAATACTCCAATTATTGAGAAGATCTTTTATGTGCTGGTTTAAATTAATTTCTGGTGACCCTTGCGTCATATGCTCATACTTTTTCTTTCTTTACATGTTAGTTGGAGTTATCTGGAACATAATTTACTTTTCTGAATCAATAATGTGGTAATTATTCGCATCATGTTTCTTGGTCCTTTTGTATGTTATTGAATTGCCCTGCGCTCTGATTTTTCCCTGCAAATCTTTAATATGGATCCTGACGACCTTATGGTGACTGATTTTAACTGGATAGAAATTGTCACCAATTCACCAATATGTTTGCATTGAATATTTATTGTTTAGCACCTGAGCTCTACATCTGAGGCATTTTGGATAATGAGCTATTCTATAGAATTTTCAGTTTTGTCAGTGATGACTTGGTGATGGTGATTGCAGCTTCGCATGGCTTGACCTCATGAGTCACAGGAGTTTTATGCCAAAGTTGCTTATCGTCAACCCTCCAAAAGGCTGGCCTCATGTTCAACGCTTGCTGGTAGACCTGTACAAATTCATGGAGCCATACCTGCGCAATGCTGAACTGGGAGAAACAGTTTGCTTCTTCTTCTCTCTCTCTCTCATTTTTTATTTTATTTTATTTATTTATTTGGGACAGATCCTTGAGGAAAATTGTTACTTGCTAACTTTTTCTTTTTTTTATAATGCAGATTCATTTTCTGTACAAAGGCACTCTGAGGGTGTTGCTTGTGCTGCTTCATGATTTTCCAGAATTCCTCTGCGATTATCATTTCAGCTTCTGTGATGTGATCCCTTCCAGCTGCATTCAGATGCGAAATGTCATCCTTAGTGCTTTTCCACACAATATGAGGCTCCCTGATCCTTCTACTCCCAACTTAAAGGTGCTTGGGTTGGCTGGTTAAATTTGTATTTACCCTAGTTATCAGCATCAGGGCCATGATTAACTAATACTTCCTCTTTTCAATTCTCTTTGCAGATTGATTTGCTTGCAGAAATCAACCAGTCACCACGTATTTTCTCAGAAGTTGATGCTGCTCTGAAAGCCAAGCAGATGAAGTCAGATGTTGATGAGTATCTCAAGGTACTCTGGAGTTTCATCAACACTGTCCACTCTTATGCATTTCTGCTTCTGCGGTTTCTTTTTTTTTTTTGTTTTTTTAAATGTTATTTTGGCTGTTTGTTTCCTCTGTTTTGATATTTCAATGCTATGATTTTCTGCAGACAAGATACCAGGGAACATTCTTGTCGGAACTGGTACAGAGATTGCTGCTGACGCAAAATAAAGCAACACAAGCTGGGACCTGGTACAATGTCCCCTTGATAAACTCCCTTGTTCTTTATGTTGGAATGCAGGTAATTCTTTTCTTTTGCCTTAGATTTGTACTGCCGTCTTTTCACCGTGGCTCCCCTCCATTAATTTTTTTTTTTTTCCCAATCAATTATCTATGTTGAACATAATATACAACAGTTAACTAGGCCAATAAAATAGACATCTAGAATATAGCTCTGAAATTCTTCCCATCATCTCTCTTTGGAGTTGATCGGTTTACAGTTTAAACAAATGTTTAGTTATCCAGATCCATGGTTGTTAGAACCTTACAATTCACGATTTGATTCATATGATTCGAAACAAAGTTTCAAGTAAAACGATTCAATTCATTACGTTGAATTTTAAATTAACTGCATCTTACAATTTGATTAAGATTCACTACTATTCATTGCAATTCATTACAATTTGGTTCTGTTTGTATATAATGTATGAAATGACATTGTTTTAGCATAATGAAAAGAAGAGATCAACTAATAATAGTGATATACATAGTGATATATATATATATACTTGTATATTAGTTATATTGACATTTATTTTGTTTTAAACACCATATGTATATACATATGTAAAATTACATAGCTTAATAAAATGAATCTTAAGGCTCACGATTCGATATGGTTCATGATTCATTATTTTAGCAAAATGATTAACGATTTGACAACAATGTCCGAAACTAAAGAAATGACTCTTTCTAACGTATTATGGCAGTAGTTACATTTCTTTAGTTCTTGAATATGACACTGGAGTACTTCCGTTGTATGCATCATTTCAGCTGTAATAGCACTACTGTGCACCACAACCTTAAAGTACGCAAGGAGTGTTTTATAAGCATTTCTTCTATCTGCATACTAATGTCTTTTTCCTGCAGTAAAACCAGAACTATCACTAAAATTGTCCCCTCTCTTGGGATTTTTTGCAGACTATCCAACAACTAGAAGCAAAAAATCCACATCCACTTGCACAGATGACAAACAATGATTCCATGGAACTTTTGATTGCCATGGACATCTTCTGGATCCTGATTGCAGACTTTGACTCCGAAGGGCGTTATCTCTTCCTCAATGCAATCGTGAATCAGCTACGCTACCCAAACAACCATACACATTTCTTTTCCTATGTTCTTCTCTACTTGTTTGTGAATGCTAACCAGGTTAGTTTCTCTCTCTCTCTCTCTGTTGAACATAAATTACAATTTAGATTCATAGGATTTGTTTGCCTGCAAGTATAACCAGAAAAATTGAATTCTCCTGAAATGATGTGGTTGAAACTGAGAGAATGAATAGTAATAACTTGTTGATCTTTGAGAATTACACTAGTTAAGTCTAGGATCTTTACACTAGTTATGCGAAATGCGATCTGCTCACGGCTTTGCATTCCTTGTTGGACAGGAAATTATACAGGAGCAAATAACAAGAGTTTTGTTGGAACGACTGATTGTGAATAAACCTCATCCTTGGGGGCTTTTGATTACCTTCATTGAGCTCATCAAGGTAACTTCAAACCACCACCAAAGTGTTGTTCGGCCAGTCATATGTTCTCTTAAAATCTGTTTTTTTTTTTTTTTGGGTCATGCAGAATCCAAAATACAACTTCTGGAGTAGGTCTTTCACGAGGTGTGCACCAGAGATTGAGAAACTTTTTGAATCAGTTTCGAGATCGTGTGGTGGGCCTAAACCTGTAGATGAATCAATTGTATCTGGTGGAATTCTTGATAGTATGCACTGATTCTGGAAGATTGGATCTCTACATTTGATGTGGGTGTAATGTAAGTTTTAGTAATTTTCTTGTCATAACAAATTACAGCTTTGTTAGATGACTGACAGAGTAACACCAATTCACACTGTTTGAATAGAATATTTGATTGTGGTTATTATGCAAAGCTGGCTGACTATTCCAAATCTTTTTACCTAATAAAAATAATTAAATACTTTCTAAAATCAGATTATAAGCTATCTATCCTTCCCAAATCTCCACCCCCACCCCCCCCCCCCCCCCCATTACAAGTTAAGTTGGAACGTGCATTTGTAGTTCAAGCGCAATTGAATAATTTTAGAGCAATGTTAAATACATTAGAACTCCGATCGTACTAAAAACATGTGTCTAAATATCATTGGATGTTTGAGTATCATTGTTTGTTTGACAACCAATCATATTTGAACTCTTGCATTTTAATTTCTAAGATTTTTTGTATTTACTTTCACCAAGAATCTTACTAAAAATACCATAGTCAAAATATAATTAGTTATTAAAAAAGTGTTAATGCTTAAATATCTAATGGTATTTGGACATGCATACTTTTAGTAAGATTTGTAGCATTGCTCGTAAAAAATTTATTGTGTCCAAGTCTGCCAGCTCAGCCCGACTTCGGACATAAAGATCTCTCCTAAGCTCGGTTTTAAAATGATATTATAATTTTGAATCCTTCCAACAAATTCATTTATTAAATAGTAAAAATAAATATTTATAAAATCAATGATTTTGTAGTTGAGTTAACACAAAACTTGATATTTAGGCATTGCATTTTAGGTATGGACTTTTTTTTTTTCTTTTTTATTTGGGTACACGATAACGGTTAGTATGCTAGTAATTAGATTATAATGTTATTTGCCTCCCTCCAGTGACTTAAATTTCACTGACCTTTTTTTTTTTATTTATTTGTAAAAAAATTCATTAAGAAAAGTCAAACGGCACTTACAACCGTCCATTCAACCCAAAACTTACACTAAACAAAGTAAAAATATATCAAGGAGCACAAAGGAGAGAAACTATGACAATATTCAGGTGCACATCTTGTGCTCGTGCTTGTATTGCGAAACAGTACTGATCATAAGAGTTCGACAATAGAGTATGTCTGAGATAAATCATAGATCCCAACCATAGAGTGGGTAAGCTTAACAATCACACCACCGATGGATTCCAAAACACCAAACAACAGCAGAACAAAACACAAAGAAAAACCAAAAAATAAAAAGCAAAAACACAAACCAACAAACCAAAAACTTCTAGCAGCGGTAGTGGATCTGGCAGTGGTGAAGGCGACAGATCTAGGGAAGGGAGGCAGTGAATCCGACGAAGAAAGAGTGGCAAGCAAGTGCGATGATGGTTGAATAGGAGGTAGACGTGGAGGCAACGCCAAATGGAGGCGGAGAAGATGAGAGACAATAAATCCGGTGAAGGCCATGGTCAACGTTGAAGCGAAAGGGAGAAGATCCTCACAAAGGAGGGAGAGGATGGAAAGCCAAAGCTTCCAAGTTATTGGATAGCAAAGCAAGGAAAGGAAAGAGAAAAGAGGGGCAGGAGGAGGGGAGAGGAGGTTGGAGGCCGTCGAAAACCCCCTCTCCCATCCTGACTGTCGCTTCAGACTAGAAACCCTATGAGAGAAAAAGTATAGAGAGAGAAACTTCTTAGACGACTAATTTCATTCACTTTGACACCTAAACTTCTTATGTACATTTATTTTTTTCATATTATATATTGATAATTGGACTGAGAAGGCCCCCAAGTACATTTCCAAACCATGCCTAGTTAATAAATGGGTCTAAAAAATCATCCCAGCTACACTCTATTATATGTCAATTATTTTTCTTAAAATAAATATCAATTTTAAATTCTTAAAATAGTGAGCTGGGATTGGCCAATTCACTGGTCGGAGAGGAGCCTTGAGGGGGGCAGTGGGTCCTGTTGCTCTTTTGGAAAATCATTTTTCTAAAAAAAATGCCTCAAAAGTTCAGAAAACATAAACTTTTATTCATTTTAAAAAGACGGTATTTTTTAGAGAAAATTAGTGAAAAGTCAAATTTAAAGAGGATATAAGACATTAAAAAGTAAAATCTTATTTCGTGATAAGGATATGCTGGAAAAGTTAACGGCGGCAGCAGGTGGTGGGAGTGAAGTAAAGAAATATGTGATATTTAACAGATAAGGTGTTGAATGAATGACATGTGTCACGTTTCAACAAATATGTAGTTTGGTGAATTTTAACAGATAGGAAAATAAGCTTGGTGAATTTCAACATATAGACAAATTGAGTGATTTTAAGAAATAGACAAATGGATTGATTTCAATAAATAGTTGTCCTTAGTGTCTTTTTTTTTTTTCATTAATTTTTTTATTTTTATACAAACCGTTCTTGGGTAAATTCCACCACTAGAAAAAAATTAGGTATGATTTTGTCGATAGGATTTCGTCAAATTTTAACAAAAAAAAAAAAAATTACTAAAATAATCTATTTCCAAATCAACCCTTAAAAAAAATTTACGTATGATTTTGTCCGTAGGATTTGGTGAAAATTTTATAATTTCATGCAACCATGTAATGCGTCACAACGCAGGTGGAATGAGTAGTAAGGAAGCATTGCATATGAGTTTTGGTGGCGTATAAAATCTCTTCACAGTTGAGCCAGCCAGCAATGAAACATAACATGGAGTGTCTTGCCAGAGTCAAAATAGAATAATAATATGATATGATATGATATGATATGCTTGAGAGAGAGAACTCAACTGAGATCATATACATAGATAGAAAAAGAAGATACAGAAACATTCTAAAAATCTCAGAACACAATCACATGGCTAAGGGATTTTTAAGATTCCCCGATACAAATGTACAACAACAACAACAATTAAAGTCTCGTTTGGAAATAGATTGTTTTAATAACCTTTTTATTTTTCATAAAAAGATATATAAAAAAAGTAAAGAAAGTGATATAATAACTTATAATGACCTTCTAATTTTTTAATTAAAATGTATAATTGACGAACGAGACTTAAATTTACATACTGTATCCATATACTAAACCTAAACTAAATTAGATTTGTTCCCCAAACCCGCGTTTTATCATTACGATGGATCCGCGCCAAACCAACATCACATGGCCACCCAAATAAATAAGCATCGTTGATCTGTTTGACTTGGCCGCGACTTTTCAAGTTATACCCTGATTGGACAACTTGTGACCGTCCAAATTTCTTGTATAGTTGGCAATGATTTTCTCACTTGGGTTTTATCACTAATTAAATGGGTCCAAAAATCAAGTTTGATTTTAATTGAATTGCCTCATATATAGGTAATTCGAAAATATGTTCATGTAATACTCTATAATAGAATGATTGGTGGAGAAAGTAGAGTATTGATTATTGTGTTGAGTGATTGAGGAATATGAGGCAATATAATAAATGGTGATTGATGAGGGAATATGACCATGTGCTATTCCAGGACTATTGTACAATTTTCCCATATATAGAAGAAGTATTGACTGAATTTAACTAGTAATTAAGACTGCAAATGGATCGAGCTAAGTCGGGAGCTCGGCTCATTTGTTTATCAAGCTCAATTATTCAGCTCCATATCGGTTTGATAACAATTCAAGGTTGAGTTTAACTCGGCTCATTAATGTTAATCAATCTCGAACTCGGCTTGAAATTCGATAATAATTTTTTTTTGCTATTATTTAATATATAAATCATACGGTTATGTTAAAATTAATTACTCTCTCCTTTTCCCACTATAAGTGAGTATTGAAGGTGTTTCAACCAAAAATTCGTATTATTTATACATGTTTTTATATTATTTAATATATAAGTAACATATTTTTTCAAGCTTAGTTTATTTACTAAACGACTTAAATGTCAGACTCAAACTTACTTAACAAATTGAGCTAAGCCGAGCTCATGAACACCTCAATTCGTTTGTGACCTTACTAGTGACCTTACTAGTAATTGAATCACAACATGGATGTTATACAAAATGAATGACTAATAAGAGGATTACCAATGGGCTCTTTAAAAAATGTTGGTTATTATAGTTTACTCCCTCCAATTGACTAGCAGCAACTCCAACACTGCTCTTATTTTTTGCTAGCTAAAATATAAATAAGGTATACTATTTATTTTGTCTAACAATTTTTTCATTTATGTGCACCAATACTATTATTTATTTACCTATACATCCACACAAATGGTTTAAAGAGCCTCTTAAGGCTCTCTAAATGTATCTAGCTTAGAAGAGTTTTGTTAAAATAACTGTTATAGTAGCTAGCCCATTGGAGGAAGTAAAATATGATAAAACTAGCTATATTTACTAACAAGTTTCTTGTAAAAAGCCGATTGGAGAAAATAAAATATGATGAGACTTTCCCATTTCTTTCACCCTTTGAGTGCCTCTAAGGGTTGTGTATTGTTACCTTGTTTGTGGCTTAATATGTATGCATGCATGCTTGGGCCTTTGAGTCCCCATCTCAGCATGTCTTGGTCTTTGTTTTGACCTACTTGAGCTCTGTTTGTGGCTGGCTCGTGCATTTGTGCCATGTATTACATGCCCCCTTTGTAGTTCTCTTTGCTAGCCTTATGCCTTAAGGACTCTAGTATGCTATACTTGTTTTGATTGGATGGTTTGACATCATTTCATACCTTATTTCAGAGCTTATAGTGTTGTTACACTCACATGTTTATCACTTCTTGAGCGCTCTTGAGAGTTGTGCTCTTAGGCCTAGTTGATGGGCCATTGCATGTGCATGCATTTACCTTGCATTTCATGCCATCATTTTAGCATTATGGCCACTGATTTGGGCATGACTGATGTCTGTCCATTTTTGGTTTAAGTCCATTGAGTATGTTTGTTTTCATGTTGTTTGCATGCTTATGTTGCCTTGCATTGTGCATGCATGCCATTAGCATTGATAGCATGCTCATGTTACATTGCATTGTATATGCCATGTTCCATTGCATTGAATATGCCATGTTGTTGCTTGCATTGTGTTTGGATTGGGTGTTAATCCGAACACGGGAAACGAGGGACGTTTCATACTCAAAGTGATGAAACGTGCCTCATTTCTCGGTCGCCAACGCTCTTGATCATGCATGATAGAATTTAAGGCACTTATGTGTTATGTGTGCATTCATTTCACATTGATTCGTGCAATCTTAGCTTCTCGGCCATC